ACGCTTTATCTCGCATATTTGATTTTTCCGATCGCCCGTCTACTCCCGAGTGTATTTTACCCGAAACCATATTCGTTTCAACACTCACATGGGAGATCGAAGCGAAGGTCAAGAGAGCCTTAGAAGGGGTAACGCCTCCGCCCGGTTGCCCACCGAATCGTCTGTTTGTGCCGGAGGGATTACGGTCTGACGTTATCCAGTGGGGTCACAGTTCCAACGTAGCCTGTCATCCAGGAGTTACTCGCACTGGTTTTTCAGTCAAGCAACGGTTTTGGTGGCCACGTATGGCTCGCGACATTCACGATTTTGTTTTGGCTTGTTCAGTTTGTGCTATTGGTAAGTCTTCCAATCAACCTCCAGATGGGTTACTTCAACCGCTGCCGGTGCCTTCGAGACCCTGGTCCCATATCGCTCTAGATTTCATTACCGCCCTCCCACCCTCTCAGGGTAACACAGTGATTTTAACTGTGGTGGACCGATTCTCGAAGGCAGCACATTTCATCCCCTTACCCAAATTACCTTCAGCTAAGGAAACAGCGGTTACGATCGTAGATCACGTTGTTGGATTTGGAATTGGTAATTTGACTTTATCTCTTAAGGACTGAAGGATAAGCAACACTCGCCCTGGATGGGCCTATCAGAACCCAGGAACTCAGTCAACCACTGTTATTTCTTTCCATATCTTTACTGGAGTATGTTTGTGTGTGGTCTGTACAAAGAGAAATAACAATAAGTAAATACAGACTTCAGATCCAATTATCTAACAATCCAATACAATAAACAATGATACAATCTGTGCGGAATATAACTTGCAATAAGAGTTAAATACAATAGTGCCACGATTAGCAATATTAGCATCAGAATAGGCCATTTAACTATAATCGCCATCAACTCAACCCTATACTTGCAATTTACTACCAACATATTAAATAAAGAAAACAATCTATTTCAACATAAAATATGACAGCAGTATGATGATCAACGATCGCATAATTCGACGGCAGATATGAATATGATCATGCATGTACCGATCGTTAGAGAGGCACCATAGAACACTCGAATTTAGTTTCAATAGCTTCAACAAACAACACTTATACACAAGATTACAATATGAACTTTCTCCTAAGTGTATAATGACAAGAATTAACTCACTTTATAGGATGCACGCACACATATAACACTCCAACTTGGATCAGCTCGCATTTCTTCCTCACAGGAACACTTTGCGTCATCAATTAAACGGGCAACGAGTCTTAAAGCGGCAATGTCTTAAAGGGGCAACGTCTTAAAAGGGCAACACACGCAAACCAGTTTGTACACACGTCTTTCGGTTACATGGCCTCCCGATGGACGTGGTTTCCGACAGGGGTCCCCAATTTGTGTCCAAATTTTGGCGAGAATTTTGTAAATTACTGGGGGCGACTGTTAGTCTGTCCTCTGGGTTTCACCCCCAGAGCAATGGTCAAACTGAGAGAGCCAACCAAGATGTGGAAAGAACGTTGCGGTGTATGGTTTCCAAGAACCCTTCCTCTTGGAGTCAGCAACTGTCAATGGTGGAGTACGCCCACAATACGTTACCAGTGTCATCTACGGGCCTATCTCCGTTTGAGTGTAGTGTAGGTTACCAGCCACCAATCTTTCCCAGTCTGGAATCCGAAGTCGCGGTCCCCTCCGCCCACGCCTTCATCCAGAGGTGTCATCGCACTTGGACTAGAGCCCGTGAGACTCTACTCCAAGTGGGAGCGCGCACCAAGGCCAAAGCCGATCGCCACCGGCGGAAGCCTCCCGTATACGTCGTCGGTTCCAAAGTGTGGCTTTCTACCAAGAACATTCCTCTCCGATCCGTCTCGAATAAACTTGCTCCCAAATTTATTGGCCCATTTGCTGTCACCAAGATCGTTAGTCCGGTGGCAGTCCGCCTTCAACTTCCTCTTGCGTACAAGAGAATTCATCCCGTGTTCCATGTATCCAAAGTCAAGCCCGTGTTTTATGCTCGCATTAATCCGCCAGTCCCGGTTCCTCCACCGCCGCGACTCGTAGATGGGGAACCATCCTATTCGGTCAATCGCATTCTGGATTCTAGACGGAGGGGACGCGGATTCCAGTACTTGGTGGACTGGGAAGGTTACGGTCCGGAGGAGAGAAGTTGGGTTCCTGCTAGAGACATTCTGGATCACTCTCTTATCGATGATTACAATCGACAGGTAAGGGAGTCTGAGAACGCCAGGAGGCGTTCTTAGGGAGAGGGGTACTGTCACGGTGGACAGTTCCTCTGTTTCCTTCTAGTCTCGTGTTTATGTTGTTGTATGAATGCACGTGTGTGAGGGGCGTGTCTGTGTGGCATTACCTGATCCACTCCAGCTGCTCATCATCAATCATCACCAGCTGCAGTCGATCACCACCGTGCATATATACTCACCACTGTTCTCTCATCTTTGTCAGATCGTTGTTTGGTGTTGGTGTGTCTCTGTTCCTGGTCCCTGTGTTCCTGATCGTCTCGTCCTCCGTGAAGTGTCGATCGTGTATTGAGTATTGTTCACCGTGTCCTGTGGATTTCACCGTCTGTCTTCACATCATCTGGTTGACCGTCGAAGTCCCTGCGTCACCTTGTTTCTGGCTTACTGCATTGGACTGAGTTTCAATAAATCCCTGTTCACTCGCATCTGCTCCCTGTGATTATTGCACCATGACAGTCAGGGTCTTTAACCAGTGCCCGAATTTGTGTACGTTATTGAATGATTGGATGAGACTTCCAAAGAAGATGAATGTGATTTCTTTTAATATTTTTCAGAATGTGAAGAGAGTTTCAACGAGTGTAACAAAAAGTGTTTATGAAAAACCCTACTCTCGCTTTCTTTAACTTTTGGGTATTTGTACGCTGAAAACAAAATTGGTGTTGAAAGAATTTTCAAGTTGCTTTGCCTGCTTTTGAAATGTAATTAAATGTGCTGACACCGTCGTCTGTGTATGAATGAGTGAGTGAATGGGTGAATGTGAGGCAATATGTAAAGCGCTTTGGTGGCCATTGGGTCTGTGAAAGCGCAATGCAGTCCATTTACAAATTTCAGAAATAATTACACATTTTCATTAAGCATGAAATTTTGAAGTAGAATGACTGAAATAGAATTTTGTTGTAAAATTCACTGCAATAATCTTTATAAATGTGAAACATCATTTTTTTTAGCGGTTTTATTTTTTCCCCTCAAAAGCATGGCAAATGACAATGCATGTGACCTTGAAAATACATTTTAGAGGTCTTGAATGTTTCAAACAATACATCCATTAAAGAGTTCTCTTTCTTTTTTAAGATGCTTTTATACACTAGACTATCCAGTACATTCAAACAAGTGAAAAGATTTGTATGTCTTTTATTCTGATGCACAGGGGTGAAATGTTTTTAGAAATGCATTTTCTGGCCTCGGGGCCAAGAGAACATGCAGTCCAGCCTCCCACGTCGCGGAGGGGAGCAGGGACCAAAGCACGCAGGCACACTTTGAGCGGCAGCGTCTGACATACTGTGAAGTCAATTCACTCTGCAGGATTCTACTGTAACTCGCCCTCAGCTAAACGCATTAGAGAAGGCAACAAATGCAGCTGAAAGCTAAATGTGCATCAGAAAAAAGGACAAATGGAACAAGTGGAGAACAGAGTGAGTAGGACATAAAAGATGGACACACAGACCTTTACAGTTCAGTAATCCTTTCTCTCCATCTCTCCATCTCATTATGATTAGGCAGTGATGTGCCCCATGGCCAGTTTGGCCCCATGAGGAAATAGTTTTAGTGAAGCAAAAGTACAACTGTTATTTTAGTCTCATTGATATATACTGTAGTTATAATGTGTTCATATTTTAAATTAGATTTTCATTTTATATTTTCAGTTAACATTTTAGAAATATGTGTGTGTGTGTGTGTGTGTGTTGAATAATGTGCTCCAATAAATCAGGATCATGTATGAAACTAAATTTAACGCTTGTCATTATATTTTTAAAACAATAAAATCTTCGAAAAGACCTTAAGTAATATTGACAAACTATAAATCATTTGAAAGCTTACAATCTCTAGTTTCCACATTTGGTGACTTTTTCAAAATAAATTACACAGGAGCCGTATTTTATCAATTTGCAACAAGAATATTTTCATACTCATAAAGCGTGTTCAAAACCTTTATTTTAAAATAGCAATGAACATGAAAAAAGGTAAAAACCTCTGTTTTCATGCCAAGAGTTCAAAAGATTGCATCCATTCAATTATTTTAGAAAAAAAGGTCTGAAAATGTTTTAAATATTACGAAAACAATAATAAATTCACCATTTGTGATGTGGCAATAAGCTATAACGTGCATGGGTGTTCTTTATATGTTTCTTAGAGGTTGAATTCATGTCAAAATCGATCTGCCAAACTTCCCATACTACTTCTGAATAGGATCTCTACTTCATAAATTGTGAAAATAATGGTTCATGTCACTCAAAACACATGGAAATGGAGGCGCCCTTATATGGGCAGCAATGAAGTCTGGTTGTGCCTTAGTGAAAAAGTTTGGTACTGCGCCCAAACAAAATCTCACAGAAAGCTAATTGTTTGAGATATCAACCTAAAACTTTAAACACAACTTGTTCAGATTTTTGGCTTTGATTTTTTTCTGCAGTTTTAGAGTAGCCCAGGTTTTGAAAATATATATTTTTTACAAATATATAAAATATGAATATTTTTTTTACATCGTCCATTTCTATTAAACTCAAACTTCCATAACTTTTATCTGTTTCACTTTCTTAATTTATTTCACTTCGACAAAAATCTTAAAACGAGACCAATCTTACGTATATATTCCAAAGCATTCTTGAATTCCAACCATTTAAGTTCGAAATTTTTTCTAGCATTTCCATGTCTATCCAAAAAACGGGGGGTGACAGTTAATAGGTTAAAACATAAAAGTAGAGCAAAAGAATCTTGGTTATTCTGTTAAGTGACAGTCTTTAAAATGAAAGAATGACTGTAAAAAAGCCCATGTTCAGTTTTTGTTCACTTATTATAAAGGCTGTGCAGCTGTCATGTTGGTCATTGATTTGAATATGAGGGGGTGTGGTTTAATCTGAGTTCGCGCGAAAGCAGATCATATTTCTTCGGTTCGGATCCTGAGGGAAAGTTTAGGTCCTGCAATCTTACCTGTAAAGCAGTGAAATAAGATAGATTAACATCACTTTCTGCAGCGCCTTCACTTTGTGAACTGCAGAATAGGATATTTGTGCCTTGATCGGCAGTGGACGATATTAAACTTTGCACTGAAGTTTCCATGGTGACGATTCCTGAATGTGCGTCATTGAAGATTGTGAGTTACATTTATATTATTATTTTAATTGTCACTTATTCACTGTTTGCCTTTATGTATGGCTGCTACATTATATTTTATGTTAAATGAGAGTGCAGTTACCTGATTGTGGGAAATATTATGTTAATAGTGACAGATGTGATCATCCATTATATAGAGCTGTAATGTTTCAGCATTTCTGTCGTGTTAATTGCACATACAGTTTATGTTGCTGATTACATTATTTGTTTATTGTAGAACCACGTTTGAGAGTCATACATCAGCGAGATAAATATTCAGTAACATCTTAGATTATACACTGGAATTTATCGTCGCTAAGGATTTACCATACTTCAGGGCCTGAGACTGCATCTCAACATCAACGTCACAAAGCCTTTTGGACACTTTAAAGAACTGTAGAGACCACACGGACTGTTGCAATCTTTGTTTCACTGCCTAATCACAGGACCAACTGTCATCTGTATCCTTGAATCTGTTGAAACAATTCATTGTTTATTTCTGTTTATTATTTTGCGTAGGCCTACGTTTTTTTTCATATGTACATTTTCTTTACATTTGAATACCTTTTGATGGTGAATATGTACACAGTGTATTTTATTGTTCAACAATATTCAGAGTAAAAGGTACAATTTAGTTCAACTGCTTTATCTTCATTACTCTCATAGTCATTGGACATCGAAATGTGGTGATCGACCCTCTGAAACGATTAGCATCGTAAAAGTAATTAGCGCAGTACAGTTCCATTTGTACATTTAATGGTCCTTCGAGCCGGATGCTTTAACCGTTTCAGCGATGATGTCCAGACCCAGAGAGGGAATGATAGAAGATGAGGTGGTTCGGCCACGCAGAATTACTCGCCAGCCTTTGTATCTTCAAGACTATGAGGTCAGTCATCCTCAGAGGCAACTCACATTTGCAGATGAGCAGGTTAATACAGTAATTAATGCTGATGTTCTCTCATGTATTCGTGAAATGAGAGAGGAGAGCAAGCAGCTGCGGCAGGATGTTAGACGCATCTCAGATATAATCGCTAGTTCTCCTGTGTTAGCTCCACTACAGGTTTCATCACCTTCACGACAATCACTTAGCGTAGAAGAGGGGGTATCTTCTACAGCGATGGCTACAAGTATGCTGGCCTCACATCAGGATGATCGAAATCCAGGTCAATCTGAGCATGTGCCATTGGTGCCTCCCAGGGATGATTCTCTGCACGCACGTCGTGATGGTCATCAAGATCTTATTGAAGATCTTACTAATCGTCTAAAGGAAGTAAGTGGACTGAATGGTAGCCAATTACACTCAGGCCAGTCAACACCTCAGTATACTGAACCTCCTCATAATGTGAATGACTTACCGCAACATGTTCCTGATCGAGCTGCTTATGTTCGTGACCAGCAGCAGAGTCAGTCCAATCCGCCTTATTGGCAGTACGATGATACCATGTTGTTGCAGCCCAATTCGCCAAACCCCCCCCTCGAGTTTTCAGTCGCTCTCCTGCAGAGGCACATGCTTGTCATTCGCATTCAGAGTATCGGCCCATTCGAAATCTTCAGGATCCATACTATGGGGGCCGAGTGCACACTTTGCAAGAAACTGCCTTAGCTGACCGTTCTAGTCTTCAATTTCAACGTGATCCTAGAACTGAACACTATCATAGCAACGGACGGCTGTATTCGCCTGATCGTTCATATCCAATTTTGGATCAAGATCTTAACCGTCCCTTGTACCCGCTGCCAGTGCAATATCGTGGGCCTACACCAACAATCCCAAATTTCATTCATGATGATCCACGGGAATTCGCCAGACTTAAGCTCGCTTTAGACAATGTACTGCCCGCCGACGCTTCTGAATCTTTTAAGTTTCAAATACTAATGGATCATTTGAAATTGGAAGATGCTTTACTTGTCGCAGATTCTTACAGTCACAGTCGTTCTCCCTTTAGTGACACTATGCGAGCCCTAACGGACATGTATGGTCAACCGCATCAGCTGGCATTGCAGCGGATCACTACTTTGATGGATGGACCCACAATCAAGAGTGGTGATGTGAAGGCATTCAAGGGATTCGCTCTTCGTGTGCGGGCATTAGTGGGAATGTTGAATCAGTTGGGTAGCCCAGGTTGGACCGAGTTGAAGTGCGGTTCTCATGTATCCCGCCTCTTAGCTAAGTTACCATATGACCTAAGAGCCAACTTTAAGAGATTTGTTAACCCTCTTCAGACTCCGATTCCTACTCTGCTTGACTTGGCTGATTGGCTTGAATATGAGGTTCGAGTGCAGGTGGACGGAACCCAGTACGGTACTTACCCTGATTATGAGAAGCATGGCCCCCGCAAAGATAAGAAGCATGGTTTCTCACCTCGAAAGCTGACTACTGTTCTGCATGGAGGAGAGCATAAGGGAGAGTCAGTAGATAACTCAAACACAGGGTCAGTGTTCTCAGATAGGATGCAGGAGAAGCCTAAGAAATATTGTCCGTTTTGCAATACCATCCAGCATTACATGAATCAGTGCTCAAACTTTAAGCTCTTGACTAAGGAGCAGGTTGAGAATTGGATCAAAACTGGCCGTAGATGCTGGAGATGTGGCCGAAATCATCAGACCTCAAAGTGTACGTTGAAAGCGAAGTGCAAGAAATGTGATAGGAAACATCTTGAAGTTCTCCATGATGTTAATGCCAGCTCAGATTCAGGTGGGAAAGACAACAGCAGACAGTCAGAGAGCACAGGTCCCATGAGCTCCACTTCCCAGACCTTGTATCTGGACCGTCCCACAAGCGGAAAGCAAGTGTTACTTAAACTGAGTCGAGTTGTGATTCAGAATGGAGACAAGTCGTTAGAGACCTACGCGGTACTGGACGATGGCTCCGAGCGAACGATTCTGCTCCATGAGGCTGCTCAACGTTTAGGTCTTCAAGGTACAGTTGAAGATCTAGCCCTTCGTACTGTGAGGCATGAGGTTCACACCATACGAGGAAGTTCGGTGTCCTTCTCTATAGCTCCAGCTTCGCAACCGGACAGATCATTCCAAATTCATGGAGCTTTTACAGCCAAGGACCTAGGTCTTGTTCAGCATACTTACCCCATTACTGACCTGCAGCGAAAGTATCGCTATCTTAGAGATCTGCCCTTGGACGAAATCAACCAAGCACAACCATTAGTGCTTATCGGTTCAGACTATCCACATTTGATCACACCTGTAGAGCCAGTGATATTGGGACCCAAAGGAGGACCAGCCGCTGTGCATACAAGGCTTGGGTGGACATTGCAAGGTCCATCAAGGTTCTTTCGTCCTCGCCTTCAGCCGCAAGAATGTCTCTTTGTTTCTTGTGTGACACCTGATTCTGAGCTTTTTAACCAGGTTGAAAGACTGTGGAAACTGGACATTTTACCTTATCGATCAGATAAGGTAGTCACACGCTCGCGTCAAGATTCAGAAGCCCTCCGTATTCTGGAAGAAAAGACCATTAGGATTAATGTGGATGGAGTCAACCGATATGCTACACCATTGCTCTGGAAAGAGTCACTTCCCCCATTGAATGCGCCAAAGGAAGCTGTCCTGGCTCTTCTATGTAGTACGGAGAGACGGTTGTCCAGAGAGCCACAAAGGGCAGTCACTTATGATGCTGAAATCCAGAAGTTGCTGCAGGCAGGCTATGTCACCCCGCTATCATCCAAGGAGTGTGAATTGAGTCCTCATTCGTGGTACATACCACATCATATGGTCCATCATAATGGGAAGGATCGTATCGTATTCAATTGCTCCTTCGAGTTCCAAGGCCAGTCTCTGAATGAGTATCTCTTACCCGGGCCTACTCTCGGTGCAAGCTTGTTGGGAGTTCTCCTCCGTTTCAGGGAACACCCTGTAGCTGTTTGCAGTGATGTGCGGGGCATGTTTCATCAAGTCCGCCTCCTTGATGAAGACAAGCCATTCCTCAGATTTCTGTGGCGTAATGGCAATACTGCTGAGCCTCCAACAATCTATCAGTGGGAGGTTTTGCCCTTTGGAACCACTTGTAGCCCCTGTTGCGCTACATTTGCCCTTCAGTCGCAAGTAAGGAACTACCTTGGACCAACAGATGATGTGCGTCAAACTGTTGAACACAGTTTCTATGTAGACAACTGTCTAAAGAGTGTACCAACCGAAGAACAGGCCGAGAAACTAGTACACAGACTACAGCATCAACTAATGGAGGGTGGATTCGAGTTGCGTCAGTGGGCCAGTAATGTTCCTACAGTCATTAAACACATTCCGTCTGAGCTAAAATCAAAGAGCAGTGAGATATGGATTAACCAAGAAACAGCCAATCCTCAAGAGCGAACCCTCGGACTGATATGGCACTGCAAATCTGATACTTTGGCATACAAACCATACCAGAAAGAGGAAGGTGAAACCACCATGCGTAAGATCTATCGCACACTTGCAAAGCAATACGATCCCCTTGGGTATCTGATCCCTTTCACCACAAGGGCTAAGATCATTGTGCAATTGCTCTGGGGCAAGAAACGAGGCTGGGATGACCCTTGCCTCCCTGCTGAACTACTGGGTGCTTGGCAACAGTGGGAGAATGAGCTCCATCAGTTATCAGAGATCTCTCAGCCCAGATGTTACAGCTCCAACAGTCAGGATGCAATCAAAAGTCGCAGCATTCATGTATTCTGCGATGCGTCTGAGAGAGCCTATGGCTCTGTTGCCTACTTGAGGACTGAAGACGATCAGAACAACATTACGGTAGCCTTTTTGGCCGCAAGATCCAGAGTCGCTCCAAAGAAGCAGCTCTCAATCGCACGCTTAGAACTTTGTGCTGCAATGACAGGAGCACAGCTGGGTGCTGTTTTGAAGAAAGAGCTGACTTTAGACATCCACAATGTTGTGTATTGGTCAGATTCTACCACAGTCCTCGCGTGGCTGCAATCTGATTCTTGCAGGTACAAAGTATTTGTCGGAGTTAGAGTCTGTGAAATACAAGAGTTGTCTGACCCAGAATCCTGGCGGTATGTCGATTCTTCGAATAATCCTGCTGATGACATCACACGAGGTTTGGCACTGACTCAATTGGCTCAAGACACTCGCTGGAGCCAGGGTCCAGCCTTCTTGATGCAACCCAGCTGCAATTGGCCAAAGGCACCCGAGGGTCAAATCCTTGACAATAGTCAAGAGCTCAAGAAACCTGTATTCAGTGGGTTGCTTAAAGAGACTGCAATACCTGCCATTCCAGATTTCCATCAGTTCAATAGTTATCAAGAGCTTCTAGAAGCCACAGTGCAGTCCCTGCATGGGGCGGCTGGCAGTAAAGAACCACCAGATGCAGATGAATTTCATGATGCAGAATTGACTCTTCTGAGGCATTGTCAAATGCAAGACTTCCCTGAAGAATTTGCCTCGCTTAAGGAAGGAAAGACTCTCTCAACCAGCAGTCGGCTGGTAGGACTTACACCTGAGTATGACAAAGATTCCAATCTGATTAGAGTGGGTGGTAGACTTAGAAGATGTGACAGCCTGGCCAAAGAAGTTCTACATCCTGTGGTTTTATCCCCGACTCATCCAGTGGTGAAACTCCTCATTAAGCACTATGACGCCAAACTACTTCACCCTGGACCTGGACGGGTGTTTGCCGAGCTACGGCGAAAGTTTTGGATACTAAGAGGGAGAGAGGCAGTTAAGAAACATCAGCGTAGCTGCCCTGAGTGCCAGAAGTGGAGGGGTCGACCAGAAATTCCAAGGATGGCAGACATTCCACCTTCCAGCCTTAGGTTATTCAAACCTCCCTTTTATTCCACTGGGGTTGATTGCTTTGGTCCCTTTACAATTAAAGTAGGCCGTCGTACAGAGAAAAGGTGGGGTATCCTCTATAAATGTCTCACCACTCGAGTGGTTCACCTCGATCTACTGGATCATATGGACACTGATTCATTCTTGATGTCCCTTAGACGCTTTATTTCACGTAGGGGAAAGCCATACGAGCTTCTATCTGATCAGGGAACCAATTTCAGAGGGGGGAGTCGTGAATTGGAAGAAGTCTTCAGTCAAATACAACCCACTCTCAGAGAACAACTCTCCAAAGAACAGATCAGGTTCCGTCTTAATCCTCCCAGTGCTCCTCACTTTGGGGGATCCTGGGAAAGAGAGGTGAGGTCTGTGAAAACAGCCCTACGGACCACACTGGGTGCTCAGGTTGTCACTGAAGAGGTATTGAGGACGGTCTTAGTAGAGATTGAAGGAATTTTAAATTCAAGACCTTTGGGTTATGTCTCCAGTGATGTGGCCGACCCAGATCCTGTGACTCCGAATTCATTGCTGATGGGGCGGCCTGACTCCTCGTTACCTCAGGTGGTCTATCCTGAGTCTGACCTGCTCAGTCGGAAGAGGTGGAGACACAGCCAGATTCTCAGTGATCACTTCTGGAAGCATTTCGTGCATGATTTTCTGCCTACTTTACAGACACGTCAGAAATGGAATCAAGAGAGAGAGAACATTACAGTTGGAACTGTAGTCCTTATAGCTGATGAGCAATTACCGAGAGCGCTCTGGCGAGTGGGTACTGTTTCCTCCATCATTCCTAGCTCTGATGGTAGAGTTAGAACTGCTGTTGTTAAAGTGAAAGATCATACTTACACCCGACCAGTTGCTCGATTGATTAGATTACCCGCTTTACCGCAGGGCTCAGATGATATGCAGTAGTAGATTTTACTACAGACAAATTTGTCTACCAAATTTGGGGGCGGCTGTAAAAAAGCCCATGTTCAGTTTTTGTTCACTTATTATAAAGGCTGTGCAGCTGTCATGTTGGTCATTGATTTGAATATGAGGGGGTGTGGTTTAATCTGAGTTCGCGCGAAAGCAGATCATATTTCTTCGGTTCGGATCCTGAGGGAAAGTTTAGGTCCTGCAATCTTACCTGTAAAGCAGTGAAATAAGATAGATTAACATCACTTTCTGCAGCGCCTTCACTTTGTGAACTGCAGAATAGGATATTTGTGCCTTGATCGGCAGTGGACGATATTAAACTTTGCACTGAAGTTTCCATGGTGACGATTCCTGAATGTGCGTCATTGAAGATTGTGAGTTACATTTATATTATTATTTTAATTGTCACTTATTCACTGTTTGCCTTTATGTATGGCTGCTACATTATATTTTATGTTAAATGAGAGTGCAGTTACCTGATTGTGGGAAATATTATGTTAATAGTGACAGATGTGATCATCCATTATATAGAGCTGTAATGTTTCAGCATTTCTGTCGTGTTAATTGCACATCTATACAGTTTATGTTGCTGATTACATTATTTGTTTATTGTAGAACCACGTTTGAGAGTCATACATCAGCGAGATAAATATTCAGTAACATCTTAGATTATACACTGGAATTTATCGTCGCTAAGGATTTACCATACTTCAGGGCCTGAGACTGCATCTCAACATCAACGTCACAAAGCCTTTTGGACACTTTAAAGAACTGTAGAGACCACACGGACTGTTGCAATCTTTGTTTCACTGCCTAATCACAGGACCAACTGTCATCTGTATCCTTGAATCTGTTGAAACAATTCATTGTTTATTTCTGTTTATTATTTTGCGTAGGCCTACGTTTTTTTTCATATGTACATTTTCTTTACATTTGAATACCTTTTGATGGTGAATATGTACACAGTGTATTTTATTGTTCAACAATATTCAGAGTAAAAGGTACAATTTAGTTCAACTGCTTTATCTTCATTACTCTCATAGTCATTGGACATCGAAATGTGGTGATCGACCCTCTGAAACGATTAGCATCGTAAAAGTAATTAGCGCAGTACAGTTCCATTTGTACAATGACTAATCATGACATTATATTAAAAAATAAAGATATCATCATATCTGTCACACTCTCTGATCTTAACTCATGTTGCATCGTGTGGGTGATTTTGACCTTAATTTGCATACTTGTTTCATCAGTGCGGTTCCTAATGCTGCTTAAGTAAAACAATTAGTCCCACACTGGTGCCTTAAATTGCTTGGTTAGAGAAAGATCAGTTCAAACATCTATTTCCCTTCAGCTGGCAGAGGGATTTTATCTGATGTGTCTGAAAAATCAAATGGGATATTTTGAGCCTCCGGGCTCTCTGAAGTGGGGGGTCTGAACAAGCGAAGGGCTCATATCATAAGTTAGAACATACCAGTTTTCATTTGAGATATCAGGGTAAATTATGCACAAGTGGAGCAGTGAAAACGTTATGTTCTCAGCCATATGTGTGAAGTCTCTGCAGGGTCCAGTTCTCTCCTTTTGTCTCGGAGTCACGTTGTTTAAAACACACATTTAAAAATACACCCATTTCTTTTTCTCTCTCTTAAGTTATCTTTCTAAATAAATCTGCATGCATTCTGTGATATCCTGAATTATTCTAAATCTGAAAATAAATCTGAATAAATTTAAGTACCTTAAATTACACAACTGCTTCCTTAGTTATTGCCTAAGAAAATAACATTTTGTTACATTCTGTGAAAACATGCCCCCTAAAGCCAGTCTCAATGTCACTGATTGGGGGAAGTCACAGTGCAAGCTGCGAACTTGGTGTTTCTTTGAGAATGTCTGTTTTGAAATATGAAATGCTATGCAAATAGTGTGTAAAATATCTTAGAAACAAAATTGACAAAACAACAACAAAAAGCAAGAAATGTAACTTGAGCAGCAAATCAGCACATTAAAATGACACCGAAGACTGAAGAAATGATGCTAGAAAATCAGCTTTGCATCCCATTTTAAACAGCCCATTCTCACCCCAAGGTGTCACCAAACTGACGCCTTGGGAAGCATTTTGACCTTGCTTCAATATCTGACGCTTTAGGCGCCCTTGGCCAATTTATACTTCTGCGTCGAGGGTACGCCGTAGTGTACGGCGTTGGCTACGCACGTAGGCGACGCCGTTGTGAGCATTTATACTTCTGCGTTCAGGTCTTGGTTGCTCTGCAGTACTGCTCCGAAACGCTAGTTGGCGGCGGAGAGTTTTAATGTTCCACTGTGTTTAGATTCCTCGCGGCTAGGTTACTACGAGTGAAAGAGAGCTGATCATGTTGGAATTGGAGCTTATTAAGGTGGAAAAACAGTTCACTTTAGTGAAATTACTAAAACTGAAAGGCAGAAATGAGAGAAGACTTCGGAGGAGATGAAACTTGTGGAAATCATAGACAGTGGTGGAAATGCGTGAGAAGGTACGTGCGGAAATGCGTAGGAGGAAATGCGATGCTACCAAGCCGACCAATCACCGATCTTGCGGTCCGCGTCGTCGCGACGTGTAGTTACATTTTTGAGGAGGTGCGCGTCAGGCGACGGCGAAGGGTACGCGGTATGGGACGCGTCTGTGCGTATGCTACGCCGTACCTACTGCGCGCACCCTACGCAGAAGTATGTCAGTTAGATGACGCCGTAGGATCGCGTCATGTGACTGACGCTAAAGGGCGCCTAAAGGCCAATTTATACTTCTGCGTCGAGGGTACGCCGTAGTGTACGGCGTTGGCTACGCACGTAGGCGACGCCGTTGTGAGCATTTATACTTCTGCGTTCAGGTCTTGGTTGCTCTGCAGTACTGCTCCGAAACGCTAGTTGGCGGCGGAGAGTTTTAATGTTCCACTGTGTTTAGATTCCTCGCGGCTAGGTTACTACGAGTGAAAGAGAGCTGATCATGTTGGAATTGGAGCTTATTAAGGTGGAAAAACAGTTCACTTTAGTGAAATTACTAAAACTGAAAGGCAGAAATGAGAGAAGACTTCAGAGGAGATGAAACTTGTGGAAATCATAGACAGTGGTGGAAATGCGTGAGAAGGTACGTGCGGAAATGCGTAGGAGGAAATGCGATGCTACCAAGCCAACCAATCACCGATCTTGCGGTCCGCGTCGTCGCGACGTGTAGTTACATTTTTGAGGAGGTGCGCGTCAGGCGACGGCGAAGGGTACGCGGTATGGGACGCGTCTGTGCGTATGCTACGCCGTACCTACTGCGCGCACCCTACGCAGAAGTATAAATTGGCCTTAAAGCGTCAAATATTGAAGCATGGTCAAAGAATGCATTGTTTTAAAATGTTTAAACCAAAGAAAAAAAAATTGTTATAATATTTCAAATATGCTTTACTATATTTATTTTATCAGAAAAGATATTAACATGCTTAAATTCTTAAACATGTTTATTTGTAACTGAATATGTAAGTACATAATCGCCGGTTTCGCAGACAATGCTAAAGCCAGTCTCAGACTAAAATGAATGTTTGAGCTGTTATAACTGAAAGCAACTTGCACTGAGATAATTAGTGCTGGGCAACAATTAATCGCGATTAATCGCATCCAAAATAAAAGTTTGTGTTTACATAATGTGTGTGTACACACCCGCATATAATTGTTATTTTATATTTTGAATTTTTTTTTATTTATATATAAAATATTAATATTTATAAATAATACATTTTGTACAAATATACATGCAATATATACATGCCCATACTTCTTAAATATATACATGCATGTATGTGTATTTATATATACAATATAATTATACGCAGTACACACACATGTATTAAACACAAACTTTTATTTTAGGTGTGATTAATCGCAATTAATCGTTGCCCAGCACTACTTAAAATATGTCCATGCCATCGTTTTGTCTCAAGATGCACACAATAATGTTTCTTTTTCTTTCTACGGTACATTTATAAAAAAAACAAACATATGTACTAATTGAACCAAGGCTTAATCCTGGCTTAATCTAAGCTCTGTCTGCAGGAACCAGGCCTATAGGTGACTTGGTTGACTTTCTTGAGGAAATACTCTTTTCATTTGAGAGGCAAATATTTCAGCAATGGGCTTGAGAGGAACGGAGAGAAAATGAGCTCCCCGTTGTCACAGCAACACTAATTGGTGGTAATTTTGTGCTCAATTTTAATAAAGCGAACGAGAGACAAAGTGGCGTGTCCATAGCAGCGGGAAGAAAAGTCACACACTCAGCTGTGCTATCCGGCACGTCTTTCCATAAGCGTGGGGTGTGTGTTTCGGAAGAGCAAAACTGATGACATTCACAGTGTGTCATGAGCCATAAAAACGCAGTGTCATTAAACCACAGACATGATGGTCAGATCTGCGTATAGCGCAGTGATATTTTCATCACTTTCTCCCCCTCTTTCAAGTTTTACTCCTCTGTCTCTTCAATCTTCAGCAATATGAAGGTGTTCAGCTGCTGAACTGATGGTTGTTATACACCGTACTAACTCTCTTTGTCAGTCTTCAAAATTTGCTCAAAACAGTCTTGCAAGGCAGCATAATGTTGCCTCAGTGCATTTGATAGCTGAAATGCTATCTAGGTAGGCAGTGCTGCTGGGTGATATTGTCAAGTCAAGTCAGTTTTATTTTTATAGAGCTTTTCACAACACATATTGTTTCAAAGCAGCTTTAGAAACCTCCTACTGAGCAAAGCCAACGGCAACCGAGGCAAGGGAAAAATAGAGAAACCTTGAGAGGAATCAGACTCAGCAAGACATTTTACAATAAATGGGGTGAATTCAGGTTAATTGAGATGCTTTTTGCCATTGAGATGAGTGGTAAAAAGTGTCCCAATTAACCTGAATTCACCCCTGCAGTGCACATATAATTTTATCTAGTTATGTGATAAATACCATTAGTCATGTGTTAATTGATTTTGCTAAAAAATATCGTCTCAATATTTGTTTATATGCTGAGAAATGGTGCATTAATATTCATATGCACCAATACACTGTAACATTGCAATAAAAACAGCAAAATGTACTTATACCTATCCTGAGTCATTTTAATATTTTATCGTTCAAAAGTTTGTGGTTGGTACGTCTTTTTTCTGAAAATCTGTGTCATGATTTTCAAGCATGCATTTAAAACATTTATATTGTGAAATAACATTAGAATTTAAAACTATTTTCTATTTGAACTTTTTAAAAATGTAATTTATTCAAAGCCAATTTTTCAGCATCATTAGCCCAGTCTCCAGTCTCACATGATCCTTCCGAAGTCATTCCAATATGCTAATTTGAGGCTCAAGAAACATTTCTTATTATTATCAATGTTGAAAACGGTTATGGTGTTTATTAATTTAGTAATTTCGGTAACACTTTACAATATGGGTGCACTAATATGCATTAATTCATGCTTAACTAATACACAGATAATCATGAGTTAATGTATAACTAATGAAGAATTAAACCATTAATTAAACGATTACTGCATCAGCAAAAAATAAAGAGTCTATATGATTAATAGATTAAGTAATACATGAATTGCTATTAATTCAATGTGTCATTGTGTATTAATTCCTTAATAACATATTTTATTAACTAATAGTGTAAATTAATGTGTTAATTACCACAATTAGTCAAAGCTATGCACTTCAACTTCCAGTTGCCTGCTTTATTTAATCATTAGCTAATGATTTGCAAAGGTATCATTATGTTATGACTTTACTTGTTGAGGCACATCATTATTAACTAGTAATTGTAGTAATTTTCACATGAATTTGCACTAACAATTAAGTAAGTAATCATGTATATTAGTGTACCTGTCATATTATCTGGAAGTTGAAATACAAGGCTTTGGCTCATTCTGGTAATTAACATATTAATTAACACTATTAGTTAAAAAAATGAGTTATTATGGAATTAATCCACAATTACATATTTAATTAAAAACAATTAATCTATGAACTAATA